CTTCCAAAAACCTCAACTGGCACCCCGAACCCCTCTCCCCCACCCTCACCATCAATATATGTCCCGCTACTCCAGGAGCACACCATAACCACCGCGAAATCTTCCCCGAACGCACCAGGACAAGCCGAGTTTTAGTAATTTGTGTCACATACTGCCAAATTCTGCGTTCAAGAGGTCCAGATCAATGCGAGAAAGTGCAATAGACATGCTAGTTGATCTCACAGTTATGGATAACCAGTAGACAGGCGAGGTGCGAGCAAACTGCACACTACAAATTTCGGCAATTTTGAAATTGATGCATTGCGACAAAAACATTCACGCGTACGTAAACAAAACACGCGCAAACACAAACGCAGCCGATGAACATGTTTTTGCACGGAAACCATACAAAAAAAGTAAGTTATCTTGACGCTAGCCATTCTTTCCTGAGATATCGGCATAATACACCGACGCACATTAGCGGGAGTTAAAAACCTAGCCTGGAAATGCATCAGCTTTGCTGATGCGATCATGCATTTTTGCATCAAACTTGAACTAATTAGGTCAACTGCATGAATGTTTGTTGCTTTACACCTCCCTTGTACGCTCGCTACCGTAAATCACTGCAAATTTTGCATAAAGGAAGATAATCAATTTCTGTTAAGCGGTCGTTCTTTAAAAATGACTTAGTTGTTCAATTTTCCACCCGCAATTTTTGAGCAATTTTCCGTCCGAAAAATTTAAGTGCCCGTACGCGAGAACCACGCATTCCTGAATCTGAAACCTTTAAATTTTGACCGGAAAACTGCTAACGTTGAAATCAGAAGGGCTGAAATTTTAGGGGATATTCTCCTAAAATTTCAGCTTTTCCGGTTTCAGTGTTAGCAATTTTCCCGCCGAAACTTTTACGTGCTAATACACGAGTACCACGCGTACCTGAGGGCTGAATATGAAATCTTTAAATTGTATGTGGATAAAGAAGATCCCCTCGCAATTTTCCCGCCAAAACTCCTGTGTGTTCGTATTTGTGAACCAGACCTAGGAACTGGATTTGGAATCTTTACCTCAAAGATTTATAGAGAATATCCCTGCAAATTTTCAGTTTGCAGTCTTTTCTGGTTCCCGAGATAGCTTTCCCGCCGAAAAATTTGCATACTTTTTTGAGGCGTTCGTACTTGGGATCCAGGCGCACGCTAGTGATGATATTAAAACAAGAGGGTCGCACATGTTGTGAACGTACATTTCTTAAGTTTCAGTCTTCTAATTTTTCTGGTTTCCGAATTGAAACTGGGTGACAAAAAATGCACACACAGCACTTTGCCAATATGCGTTTTTGCATTTGCATATATACAAC